AAGGACAACAAAAGAGAGAGAGGTGGAGAGATGGTGAGGAGGAGAGAGAAAGAAGACAGAGTAACTGTGTGAGAGAGATAGAGTGAGAGATGGAGAGGGAAAAAGAGATTGAAAAAGAGATGGAGAGAAGAGCAGCAATGTAAGATGGAGAGGACAAATAGAGAGACATGGAGAGGAAGAGAGTGATAAAGAAAACAAAAGTGAGATGGAAAGAAGAGCAGCAAGTAGAGATGGAGAGGAGGAGAGGGAGAAAGAGATTGAAAAAGAGCAAGAGAGAGATGAGAAGAACAGCAAGAAAGAAAGGGGATAAAGAGGGGTAAAGATAAAGAGGAGAAGATAAAAAGGAGAGATGGAGAGGGAGAGAAAGAGAGAGATAAAGAGGCAGGGAGAGGAAGAAAAAACAAAGAGAGACTAGCAGATTGTGGCTAAGTGGAGGAGGTCGACGGAAAATTGAAGACACATAACAAGCCACTGGAGAGACGGAGTTCGGTAAAAGAAGAATTACAGTATTTGAAATGAAAAGAAGAATCACAGAGCATAAAGTCTCAGTTTGCCAGTAAAAGCTGAGTCATGAGACAGGAAACAGCTCTAGTATAACTAATGTCAGGTTGGGAGCAGCTCTGCAGGGTGTTTATGGTGGAATAAACCAGCACAGTGAAAAAGCCATTCCACAAAAACTCAATAAAAGCAATTAAACTGAACATTCATCCCACAGAAAATATGGTTTAAAGAGTAATTACACACTTTTTAATATTAAAAAGAAAACACATTGTTTTGTGATAATAAATGACATGTTCTTTTCAAAATGTCAAAATAACAAAATTACTGGCTCCCCAGTTATACAATAGGTGTTGGCTCTGTTGTCAGGAGATTTTGAGTTCCCTGTGATGCCACTGCCAACCATTATTGAGAGCCCAAGACAGCATAAAAGGGCTTGCTCTCTCTGGGTGGGTAGGATGTCCCACCCTCTCCTCCATCACTCAGAGCAATGCTAGCCAATGCAGCCATTTGTTAGATGACCTTTGTTTAGTATATTACCACTACTATGATAATGCTAACTCCCTCTATGGGATTTGTAGTGTAATGTTAGTTCATATGGATTGTTTTACCAAACTGGTTCAATGTTAGAGTTATAAATGAGTAGTATTCCACGGATTTTTCTTTTTTTGTGTGTGTAATTAATTGGTTAAGATGTGAACAAAGTCAAGAGTTGTTTGGCGTAAAATGCTCCATTATAGAGAAACTTACCGAATCAGAATTGTTCGCATTGTGAATGCCTTTAAAAGCTCCCTCACAGCAAGTTACTAAATAAATCATTATAGATACACTGCCTGGCACCTGAGACATTGTTTTCCGATAGTTTTGAAATAAGATTTTAGCCTAAAACATTTTTTTTTAAAACACATTTATGACAAAGTTGTACATGCAGGGTGTTCTAAGGCAAAATTGTCCCTAAAAACACATTTTTCAGACTTTTTTTACTGTCAGCAACATTACATATAAAAGATCAGAAGACACATGTCTACCACTGTATAGACATTACATGGTTACATTTTTCTACAGTGAACCATTTTACATCCAACTTAATTTACATCTCAACCACTGAATTATGGAGAATATTTTTGGAAAAATTGGGGGAATTCCCTTTTAAGGTATAGACAGAGTGGTATTCCTTCCTCAGTTTGCTTTTTTTTGCCTTATAGTGCTCATGCCCCTTCCCTTCCAAAGCATCCTACTCATTTTTTGAGCAATTTTCAAAGTTGAACTAGGGGTGGAGTAACTGAAACAGGAGTGTGGATACTTTTTAAAATATTTGACTAAAATCAAATGTGTAACTGAATTAGACTTCTTTTGCTCAAGATAACACAAAACACTGACGATGCAGAAATGTGTTGAAGAGAGAGAAAGAGTGTAGTAGTATGTTGCTGCAGAAGGTCAAAAAATACAGAAATGTTGGCACCCTTCATAAAAATGAGCTACAATTAACCCATAAAAAGAAGCACACATGCAATGAGTTATATTTTGGGCTTAAAAATGCAGATTCCAAAAATACAGGCACCCCAAATTTCAGTACTTTGTGGAGCCTCCTCTGACAAGAAAGAGCACTGAGCCTCTTTCTGGAGCATTTAACAAGGTTGGAGAACACTTGTGGAGGCATTCTGGACCACTCCTCCATGCAGAACATTTCCAACTCATTGAGATTGTTGGGTTATGTCTTGTGAACTGTCCTCTTCATTTGAGACGACAGATTTTCATTTGGGTTCATGTCTGGAGACTGAGAGTGCCATTGAAAACCTTGATTTTGCGTTGCTATAACAATGTCTTTGTCAATTTTGATGTGTACTTTGAGTCAGTCTTTTTGGAAGACCCAAGCACGGCCCAGTTACAGCCTTCTGTAATGTGTGTTCTGGTTTCGAATGGAATTCTTTATGCCACTGACCTTAATAACAGCCCTTGGACCACTGGCAGCAAAGCAGTTCCAAAGTAGAGGTCTGTGCGGGACTGTTTTTTCAGTCCCGCTCCTGCCCGCTCCCACGAGATTTCATCCCACTACCGCAGAAAATCTGAATCATTTGTCCTGCTCCCGCCTGCGCAGTCCTGTGCACATCCAATATCTGACACAGTCTATTCACAATTACATTATCCTCTGCTGAAATAACATGGCAGTCATGGTCATCAGGCTCACTGTGAAGTAACTTCATGGAACGCCATTCATTCCCACTAAACAAAAAGCAGGAATTAAACCACAGAGCGGTTATTTTTGGTGTTTTGCTGGGCAGCTGTGGTCATTGGACTGAGGGCTCTGCCATCTCTCTAATGCCTGATTCACACATGCTGCGTCTGTGTGGCAGAAGTGGCAATGCGAGCGTTACAGCTTGGGTGCGCTGGCCTTTCATAGATACAGTGCTTGTCATACAGATGTTCCTGTTTCCAGACGGATAAATGGTCACATCAGTCATTCTGCTCAATAGAAATACCATTTATAAAAGTGCACAGTATATTTGTTTATCCTGGACAGCGTTCTGACTTGTGATTAGGCAAAAGTTTCAAGCCTGGTAGACCAACCAGGAAATCTGTCTGCAGCCGGAATGTTTAACTAGTATTTCATCAGGGATTACATAAAAAATGACCTTTTAAATTTTTATACGGTCTTCTGCTTAATTTTCATTGATTTTCATGGCTTATTTCAGTTTATTAAGCTGCGTGCCCTGGGTCCGTTCTCTAAACACCGCGGCGCTTTAGGGCAGTGCCTGGGACTTGCCGCTTCTCATGTGCAGCCTGTTTGAAAGCACCGACCACTTAACATGGTCGCCGAAATGAAAAGCAGGACTCTCCTCGACGCTTACGCCACACAGAAGCAGTATGTATGAATCAAACCTATGGGAATTTGCGTGTTGTTGCTGGTGATCAGTTGCTGGAGAATGACTTTATTCATTTTAACTGTTTAATTTTATATTGTTTACATATATGATTAAGTGATCGTTCTACTTTATTTAGGCTATTCATTAATTTGCAGGATTTCTCTATATGTGTGCTTCTGCCTTAAGGGGTCCAATTTCCGCCCGCTCCTGCGAGCAGCACTGAAAATTAGTCCCACGCTGCAAGATACTGCATCAAAGACCCACCACCATATTTTACTGTGTGTATGAGGTGCCGTTCTTTGTACTCCGCCCCCTTTTTTCACCAAACATGACGATGGGGTACACGGCAAGAAAGCTCAATTTTCATCTCATCTAACCACAACACGCGATTCCAGTTGTATTTGCAATGTTTCTTCACAATGTTTAGATGCTGGGATTTGTGTCTTGGTCTCAGGAAGGGCTTTTTTCACGGAAAGTGTCCAAAAAACTCCTGGTCATAGAGGTGGCGCCTCACTGTGGATTTTGAAACGGTGAAACCCAAAGATGCAACTAAACTTTGCAGTTGTGAAACTGTGATCTTTGGGCTTCCTATTGCCTCTCTTAGCATCCTCCTCACTGTGTGTGGTGGCAATATGTGGATCCGCAACCTTCCTGACAAAATTTTGAACTGTTTCCATGCTTTTGAAACTTTTTTACTATGACCCTGATTGTGCTTACTGGTAATTTCAACTGCTGACCTATTTTGTGTAGCCATTCCCCAATCCATGCAGCTCAACAGCTTTATTTCTCATTTGAGCTGAGAACTCTTGGGTTTTTACCCAAGTAGATGGATGACAAAGGATTTTACCTGTGTGTTACCTCACGTGTGTACCCCAGTGAAACAGGAAATGGTCAGACAACAAAAAAGTTCTTAGACACCAAAAGCAATATCAAGAAACATTTTTTCCCCCCAGTGACACTATTCTTTTGGTTTTATTTATAGTATTCTTTACGGGTGCCAATAATTTTGCCACATATGGTACAGACACTGTAAACTATTCAGAAGACACAAGAGTTTTGTAGGAATTATTTTTATTGAATAAATAGTTGGCAATTTTTTCAAACATTTGTGGAAAAATTGAATAATTAGATGTATTACCTATATGTAATTAATGTTTTTGCTCACTTTCTTGCGGGGTGCCAATATTTCTGGACCTGACTGTATATGTATTATTAAATATATTGGGTATAATTTGCTTTACATACCAAACTAAGGCATCTCTAGTCCTGACCCTTGTGTCTTCCGCAGCATTAACTGACAAGTAGAGTGAGCAGTTCTGCATCTTTCTGAGCCAATATACAATTTTACCTCAGCCTCAACATACTAGGAGGAAAACACTGACCTCTAAACCTACTAATTATAATATATTCAATATGCTATTGTGTGAAAGAGAAAGAGAAACCTCAGCCACTTGAGATGTCCAAATTGGCCCAGAGAGCATTTATGACCCAAATACATACACAATTTTTCTTCAGAGAATATTAGTCCAGGACATTTATAGTAAATATATAAGAGAACTGCAACAGAAAAGGGTTAAAATAAGAAATAACTACTAAAAAATTAAAAATATACATATATATATAAACACTCAGCCTCACCTCAGAGAGCACCTGGTGCAGAAGCTGGGCGCTGCTGTCTGAAATATTCCAAGGGTCTTTCTCGTCCACCAGCATGGCGTCCAGCGTGCCTTTCTCCATCACCACGTCGAAGGAGGCATCAGGGAAGGCCAGGCGGCGAATGTCCATACACACCCAGCTCAAACCAGCGCAGTCAGAGTGACGCTCAGCCATGCTCTCCACACACACGCTGGAGTAGTCCACGTTTGTGATGGATGCATAGCCCGCCTGATACATGTCCAAACTCAGAGCACTGTTACCACAGCCTGAGACAGAGAGAAAGACTTTGTGTAAGGTCTAGTTTTACAAGTTGGTCCACTTAAAAAACATTTGTGGTAGTCCAATCCTAAACCTAACCCTTACCTTCAAGTCAGTAAACAAAACAATTGTTTTTGCCCCTACAGTTTTAAAGGCAAAGAAACAACCCTCAAAGGTACAACATGGTTCTTGTATACATTAAAAAACATTCACATTCCCAGGGGAAAGAGCATATTTATATGTTTTCTTTTTTATCTTTTTTAAGTAGAAAAATAAAATAAGAAGACTGGAAGAATACACAGCAATATGTATGGCGCAAAAAGGACACCATTCCAACATGGAAACATCATCTCAACAGTGGAGGGAGCATCATCATTAGGGCTGCTTTGCTGGCCTGGACTGACTGCCATCATCAACAGAAAAATGAATTCCCAAGTCAGGGTGTCTGTCTGCCAAGTGAAGCTTTGTAAAAGCAGGGTGATGCAGCAGGACAATGATCTTAAATACTGAAGTAAATCTACTACAGAATGGATTAAAGAAAATAAAATCCGCCTTTTGGAGTGTCAAAGCCCAGACCTGGAATGACCTCGAGAGAGCCAGTCACACCAGACATCCAAAAATATGGCTGATCTGAAGCAGTTCTGTGAGGAAGAATAGTTCACTATTTCTCTGGGTAGGTCTGATCCGTAGCTACCGGAGGTGCTTGCTCAAGGTTACCGCTGCCAAAGGAGATTCGACCAGTTATTAAATTGAGGGGTTCACTTCCAGCGCTGTAAATGTTGTGAATGTTGAACTAGTTGCACAATAAAGACATGAAAGATTATAACTGTTTGTGTGTTATTAGAATTAGCACATTGTGTTTGTCTATGGATCATTCTACTGAATTAGATCAAAGTCGTTTAAAGTCGAGTTGAAAACATACTTTGGACTTTTACCTGATTTGTACATTAAACTAAAATCATTTTGCTTTGAGAGATACTATACCTTAATTATGATGATTTTATTAAAATAAATAACTGAACATTCCATTTTCTCACTACCAAAACAATCACACCACTGAAATTTTAGCAAATATTTAAGCAGTGACAATATTAGCTAATTTTGAGTATAACTCAAAATGCTGGCCATCGCATAACTAGCAAACACAGCTGTGAACAGTGCACATATAAAATCATAAAATTTTCAGTACTGACTATTCTTAAGTTCATACACTGATTTTCAGACTTTGGGACGCATTTACTTCAAATTAATGGGATCTACCTGCTCACTATGTGGCCATGAGGGACCGGGATGCAGTCTCACTTCCTGCTCTAAAATGCAAGGGTGTGGCTAAAATAAGGCTCCGCCTACGGATTAAAACTCTGTGTTCCGTCTAAGCGCTGGCACGATCATCAAGAGATTGCGAGTTCGATGCGCGGTGACGCTTAAGCCTTCCTTGGCCAGGAGTCCAAGACAGCAGAGTTGGCCTCGCTCTCTCTGGGTGGGTAGGATAGCCCTCTTTCTCCCCCCATCACTCAGCACAATGCTAGCTGTCTGAAAAGATGCAGTGGTTTCATAGGACTCGGAGGAAGCTTGTGTCTGCTGTTGCCCTCCAAGTGTTGGTTGTATTGTGTGACTGGGTGGAACTGGATAGAAGTAAATTAGGGAGAAAAAAATTAAACTCATGCTAAATCTAAATCATTCAATTTCACCTTTAAAGAAATAAAAAAATCTTGGAAAAAAGCATTGAAAAAAATGTAAATATTATTTTTACAGGTTAAAATTTAGGGGTTGGGGTTTGGGACAGTCACCTTCCAATACAAACTAGCCTATTATTGATGATTTTTAGCTTATGTGCAAATATATCTAAAAGCTTAATTTTGTTTTGTTTTTTTACAGTGAGATCGCAAGTTTAACTAATTTAGTAGGATGTTGCCTATACTTATGACTTAAATGAAGAACATTTTATGAACAAATGATGCAGAAAACTAGGTCATTCCAAACGGTTCACATACTCTTTCTTGCCCCGTATACTACACACTCTCAAAATAACCACTGCTGTTTAAGCACATGCACACACACACACGTGTATCTTCCTCATTCAGTGAAAGTCTCTCTTACTGAGCCAAAGACAGAGATGCCAAAAAACCCTGAATGTCCTTCAGAAGTACTTTGCCAAGTGCCAACACAAACACACACATACAGTTCCTAAGAGGGTTGCCAAGTCCTTTTACTCTGATCCTGACCTGGCCAGGCATGGCTAATGACTCACAGTGCGTCGATAGGCTTCGACAGGCTGAGGCTGGCTCTGCAGTGATAGATGGCCTGAAATTCTCACTTCACTACAGCAGCAGACAAAGGCTTTATCAGCCAAATCGGACACGGGTTGCCAGATCCTCCCTGGCGATCTGCGTGTACATACAATAGAAGTGATTAATGAAGACAGAGGAGGACGTGGCAAGCTAGAGGTGTCAGCATTACTGGCTCATTGTCAGGACAAGCAAAGTGCTGCTCAAGATCACTCTCACAAGGTGTTCTTTGTTTGTTTATTTAAATAAATCACATTTTTCATATCTTTATATGTTCACACATGTATGAATTCACACCCTCGCCCACCCAGGCAAGGGACGACATGAAACTGACACATGCTCAGAGCCCTGCTGATGTGTGAGCTACTGTTACCTCGTCACAATTCCTTGTTTTCATCATTATAATGAAGAACCTTCAATCCTGTTCCTGGAAATTCACCCTGTAAGCTACTGTTAAAATTGAAAAATACTTTTCCTAGAAATCTTTTTGGCCTCTTTTGTCTGACAAATAAGAAAGGAGAGGGCCAGATGTATGTACAGCGCTTTCCTGGGCAATGCAATTGTGTTTTTGCTGGTATATAAATAATAGTATACATACAAAAAAAGCCTTATTCACATTTACAAGACTGCTCAACTCTAAGTTCCATTGAGTTTCACAATTTCTGCATAATTAAATAGTTAATATGTAAACATTCATTCAAAATACTTTGGTGTGAAATGCTCTCTTCTAGAGAAACCTACCAAGTCAGAATTGTTCACAGTGGTGGTGACAGTAACCAGACGTCTGAAGAGTTTAATGCCTCTAAAAGCTCCCTTACAAAAAAGCTAAAAAATGAAATGGTTATGGACACACTGCTCGTAGTTTTGCCGTAGTTTTGAGATAAGATTCTGACTTAAAATGCAATTTTTTTAATGTGCATTCATGATGGAGAGGTGCAAATTCATTCAGAGTGGTTTGACGTGAAATGGTTCAACTTACTGACTCAGAATTTCCACTTTCATGATAGGAACCAAGGGATGTGATGTATACAACACAGATACTACAAAGATGTTTACATCTTAACCATGTAATTACACAGAAATTTTTAAAAATTGGTGGAATTCACCCTTAATTTGTACAGATTCCTATAAGTTCATTTGAAACCTATAGAATCATATAAGCATCATATTAGCATTATTTTTACACATTTATCTGCAACACTATGGGTTTTATTGTATTGATAACAATGATTGCAAACTTGTGAACAGCGGTGTAGTCACTGTGCATTCACGCTGGGAGAGGTAGGGTGTGGGAGGGGAGAAAAACATTCATTCCCATTTGACTGTTTTCCCTAAAGTCACATGGCCATGAATCAGATATCGCTTGAAAATATAACCCTGTTACCTACATTACAAACTGAAAATAAATTATTAATAAAAAAGTACATTACATAAATCATTAGAATGTCCTTAAACGTCCTCACGCCATTAGCATGGATGCTACTTAACCACATCTTGTGTATTTGCTTATTCTATACTAAAAAACTCAACCCTGTTACTTTCAACCCTGCTACTCATTTAAGCCGCTGTCAGCAAAGAAATTCAAAGAAAAAGTGAGAAACTGTTCCTGAGTCACACTTTTAAACAGTTAAATGTATTTTTGTTGGAATATGATACATAATAAAGTTTAAAAGACTTACAAGCAGGGACATGGGCAGTAGGGGTGCTGCTTTTAGGACTGTATAATAATAAAACATTCTGAACTTCATAATAAAGGGAGTCTTTACTACTTCATAGTAAAGACCCATGTGTGCTTGATTAAGAGAGGAGTTTGTAAGTTTATATTCTCAAAATCTGCATAAGCTGCACTGTGAAAGCTGTGTATTTATTACAGTAAACTGAGAGTTTGCCACGTTGGGGGCGCGTCTCTCCAACACACACAGGTTGAGGTGCAAAGAGAGAAAGCCTATACAGAGTTACAGACCTGGTCTGAGTCCCAAAGCAGCCTTATACTGTTTTACTTAAACTTAAAAATACTCATTTTTTGTTATAATAACATTTTATCAACTGTTATATCTCCCGCTTTGTTTTCCAGTGTTAAATCTCAGTGTGTGACCGTAGATATGACACAATAAGTTACCACGCCACATATCAACAATCTGATTGGTCTGTGCTCAGTTGATTTGCATAAAGTTTGTCTAGAACGTTTTGATGTCAGTTATATGTGTATACTGTTGTATATCGCTGTTGTCAGGACAAAACCTTGTATCTCCTAAATTGTAGCTTTACATGAGAAGGAAAAAACACACTTTACTTTTAATGTAAATCAATGGAACCAGACCTTTTTTCATTTTTACACACAATGTAAAGGGCAACAGGTATTTTCAAATTATGTCAAAAACTGAAAAACAACATAAATGGAGATATGAGGTTTCGCTCCAACAGCAGCGATATACTCTTGCCACATTGTAGCACCCTATGACACATTCAGTTTGATGTTAATTCATTAATGAATTAACTAATTAATGAATTAACGCAAATCAATTGCATGGGGTCATCGGTCACGTCACATATACGCTGCTTAAACTTTCAGCACCCCCAACTTCAAACACGTTCCCGCGTCCCTGCTTACAAGTGCTAAATTTCACCCCAATCATGGAATCACCCTAATACTGAATCATTTAAATGAATTACACTGCTTTCAGTGTCTAAGCTTTAACAGTCTGAGATCTATTCCAGCC